ACACACACCCCTGTTGCTCTGGCGCTTGAGAAACGCCGGTCGCCAGTCCTGCTCATGTTTCTCCACCTCTTGCGCCGCATCCAACATCGCGCTGGAGAGGTCCCGCACTTCCAAGCGGCCGCAGGTCACCTGGCCAAGCTCGATTCGCTCTCTGTATCTATCCAACATTGCGCGCAACCTCTTCCGGCCGAAGGTTCCCTTCGGTCGGCCAGCCCCTTCGTATCCTGGGCGCTTTGGAGGTGGTGTGAGGATCTCAGCCGCAGGCTGACAGTCTCGCGGCCTTTTTCCCCGCGGCGGCGGGGGTGTGTCGTTGCTGCCACGCCTCGCATCTTCTGTGGAGAGAACGGCGCTGCCGCTAGAAGAAGATGGCCGCCAGGCAGCAGCCCACTTTGCCTCGGCCGACCAGTCACGTGCCTTGGTTTGTCCCTTTGGGTACTTGATGTAGTCGCTGCGCCACATGCTGCTGGACCCATCCGACAGGTCTGCTGTCAGCTGGAGACGATACTTTTTCGCGCTCTTCACTTGAGTTACAAGGGTCAGCGTACCACCACGCCTAGTCAGGGCGTCCCTGATGGCCGTCAGCGCCTCGAGGCGAAGCGTGAAGGTCATGGGGCGTGCAGGGCGTCCACCGCCAACTTTTTGTTTTTCAGCCGTTGGGGCTGTTGTGGACATTTTTTTGAAAAAATCGGTTTAGGTTTTTTTTTCGGGGCCTGCCCCAAAAGGTTCGGAAATGGAACCAACGCCATAAAATAGAACAGAGAGAGAGCTTCAATTATCTGCAATTTTTTTCGGTCGCAACCCCGTGGTTGTCGAGATATGGAGGATTTGGTGGGATGAAGTACCTTCGGTGGCGATGGCAATAGGCCCATAACTTTTGATCCAGAGCGTTGCGACCCATTTTGAAAGGCTTTTTCGAACGCCGCTGGCGAGAGCTTTCCAACGCATATTTGCTTGTCGGTCAAAATTTTGGGGCACGTGTTTATTTTTATTGTCCCGCCCCAAAACTGTCAGACAATCGTTGGAACTGTATGGGCGCGAACACGTGTGACACGCCTGCCCCAAGATACACGGCAGTGGGGCATGCGGAGGAGAAAAGGCACCACGACAGTGCATTTTCATGCAAGCACAGAGAAGATCGCACTTCGCCACCGAGAAGTGATAATAGACCAGACATGGTGGACCCCACTACAAGGGTGAGATCTACATCGCGAAGAGTTGACACACCACCTCACCAATCAGATGATGAAGTAAAAACACCATGTGCGGAACACTGTTGTAAAATCCTCATGGGAAGTAATTTGATGGAAGTGATAGCCACGTAGTTTATAGGCCAATCACATGATCCTTTTCGAGCTACACAACCGAGACAAAAATATTTCGTTATTTAAGACGCAGTAGATTTGAGTCACAGGTCGTGAGTGCATTTTATCGATCAATTAACACCTCCATTGCACGGTTAAACGCCAACAGAATTCCATCGAAAGTCTTGCTCTCGTCGCCCATGTCGCTTTTACGCCCCAAGCTCGTTTCGTCAACAAGACCACCGGCGCGATTGAAAGATTCAAACCCCATTCAGGCAATCACTAAACGCGGGGCTTGATCTCTGCCTTGAAGCCTCGAGCGCATTAATCCCGATTAACGTCACAGTGCCGAGCGGGTCTTGTTCTCCCTGCCTACTAGTCATCACGAATCACCCATGTCGCTTTTACGCCCCAAGCTCGTTTCGTCAACAAGACCACCGGCGCGATTGAAAGATTCAAACCCCATTCAGGCAATCACTAAACGCGGGGCTTGATCTCTGCCTTGAAGCCTCGAGCGCATTAATCCCGATTAACGTCACAGTGCCGAGCGGGTCTTGTTCTCCCTGGCTACTAGTCATCACGAATCACGCTTGATACCACATCGGGGCTTGCCCTCCCTGCCGACAAGCCTCAAGCGTATCCATCACACAAGCACGCTTCCAGAGATGAGCGAGCCTTGCTTCCTGTCCCTCCCAATATAAGCAGTCACGCTTCAGAGGACCTTTAGAGGACCTTCCTCTCCTTGTTCTTACGCCGCGTGCCGCGCTTTGCCCGTGCGGCCGCGGTCGCACCGCCTTCCCCGTTCCCCATCTCCCCCGCCGACGTGCTGCCGGTACCACTAGTAGTTATACCATCCATCGGGTCCCCGTCACCGCCGTCTTCGGCGCTTGCCCCCTCTCCTTCTTTAGCCCCCTTGCCGACGGTGCGCAGGGCCTTGACACGACGAACCTATGTAGCGGTTACGGGAGGCAATCGGTGGGGTGGACGTGAGAGTGGGACGGGCCGGCCGATGATGCCGCGGCCGCGGTGTGTGAGCGTGCGATGAAACACTAACGCGTCAACCCATCCAATCTATTCTGAAGCTTCAGCTTCGGTCTCATCGTTCGATGTCCGGTTGTGAAAGTTACATTTGCATCCGACCGACCCGGTCTCAAATGCTGATCTCGGGCTCATGCAGTGCAACTCTCAGGGCGCCTCACGCATGGTTCGGTAGGGAACCGCAAACCGTGGATCCTCTCTGAATCGAGCAGCTTCCACCTCCCGACACGACTCGGCCCTGACTGTTCGTTGTCCGTTTCGCCATGGGAAATGGCCGGCTGAACAGACAAGGAAGGTCCTGCGTGCTCCGCGCCACCATCTTATTTATTTTTGTGCTCTTTGACCCAGGTTGTATGCATGCGGCTGCTGTACTTGCTCGGAATGTGCAGTAAAGCTCGAACGGTGCTCGTCTATGTCGCGTTGGGTTGCACGCATTGCTCATCGCGCAAGTAGTGATGCACGTCTTGTACTTTTTCCCCTGGGTCGTCAATAGCTGCATTTTTTATGCATATGTGGGGGCGTTACGGTATCGTGCGTTTGACCATGGACAGCTGCAGGAGCTCTCGAGTTAGAGAGGCTGGGTGTCGGGGCAGGTGAGAAACCGCGATGGAGACGGATAAAATGAACGGGACGAACGACAAGTTTCAAAGACGAGCGAGAGGGGTATATCGTCACCTTCATGCTGGAAAGGTCCTGTCTGCCGAGGTGGATGCGGCCAAGCTTGTCCCCGAACTGGTTCGCCGAGACGTTCTTGGTCTTTCTCGTCTCCGCACTTGGGTCAATTGGTCAAGAAAGAACAGAGCAACAACGGTGGTAAAAAAAGAACAGAGCAACAACATTGGTCAAAAAGAATAGAGCAGGCTCGGGGAGCCGTAAAATAAAAGTTGGTCACCGTATCATTTACAACACTAATAAATTCACTGCTGATCTACCGCGGGCTCTTTTACCTGTGCCAGACATGCACTTCTTGGGTTCGTTGCAAGGCAACAAAGAAAACACAAACAGAGGAACCATGAGGATGATGGGGTTGGTGCAAATTTGCCGTGTGGGAGTTGCCAGAATTTCCCAAGATGGTCTGATGGGAAACCACATTCGTGCAATCCATGCTTGCGGATGAGCGCCCCGAGGATGGGATTGTGTCACCTTTCCGTTCACCCCGACCCGTCCAAGCCTGCACGATAACATCATCCTTGCTGTACACGTTCCCGAATAAACTTCTGCATTCGTGCCGTTCAGCAGACTGCGAGAAACGCCAACAGAGTCAGCTCGCCAGAAAAAATACACACACCCACACAAACACATACACACGCAAAAGGTGTGTGTTCGTGTTCCCAGGACTGACGTCTTCTTTTTTGGTCGGCCGGCATCCGCGGTTGATGCCAACAACAGAAAAAACACACAATACATACGCACAGGCACGACGATACATGCAACGAAGGCGCCACTCACACTCTGGGCTTCTTGACGGAAGCCTTACACAAGTCCTCCGCTGCAAAGCTGGTGCGTCGAATCTGCAGGTCCAACGAGGGTCCCATCTCCTTCAAATCCACGGCAGGGATCTGCGTCAGATTCGAGAAAAGATTCCACCCCAGTTTAACAAAAAAGGGAACAGAAAATTGACCAGAGAAAGACGCAAGGCACAAACAATCGTCGCAAAAATTGCATTCGGCCCAAAGTTGGGAGTCCCATTTCCTTCTAAACCCGCGCACAGGTATCTGGATCTGGCCAAGCAACGAAAAAGGCGAGGTAGCTGGAACCCGCATGGGAAGCAAAGGAAGGCGATAATGCATCGGCATTGAATCATGGCGTTTTCTAAATGCACCGCGTGGTCAAGTGCCGAATCCTTGCGCCGGAGGTATTGTTGATGCCACCGCGCGCCGGACGCGAACAAATTCATGACGTTCCGGCTACGTTGGCACGCTCTCTGCAATCTATAATTTCCTTCTCCTCTTGTCTGCCTGGCTCTGTTCGTGTCTCCCTCTCTGTGCCTCTGCCCTCTGTCTCTCACTGCCTCTCTTTGGATGCTTGTCTTGTCTTGTCTGTCTGTCTGTCTGTCTGTGTGTGTCTCTCTCTGCGTGTTTCTCCGTCTCTCTCTCCGCCTCTCTCTCTCTCCATCGTAGTTTTCTGTGTGTTGTCTGCCTGTTTGCCTGTCATCCTCCTGCATGGCATACCTTAGAGCCTGACCGATGAAACCCGATGTGATAGTGCCGCACGTAAACCTTGTCTTGTGTTGCCGTGCACACCACGCAGTGGTCCAAACCCGCTAACGCCACTTCGTTCACCACCTGGCCCCGGAAAAAGTCTGAACAAGAAAAAAATAAATGACGGACGAAGAAATTAGGGAAAACATGTCAACAAATGAACTCGCAAGGAGGCTCAGTGCGGGCCTAACACGCGACATCAACAAAAGCCATGCGTGCGCGACGGGGAGGGGGTGGTATTGGTATTGAAATGACTTGGCTGCAGGCTCATCGTCAATAATAGCAAACGAGACCGAGAGGAAATATGATTGTACTCAGAACGCCTTCCCTCTCTCTCGTATGACACGACACGACAAACAAGGACCCCGCAGCTCCTCCTGCCATGACATGGTAAACTAAATCCCCCCCCTCTTTCCTAGGAAAGAGTTCTACATTTTAGAAAGTAAACTATAACTAAACCTCACAGAAAGACTACCCGTTCAAGATATAATAACCACAGTCAAAAGGGATGTACTGAAGTCTTCTCAGTGAGTAGAGGGAAACCGGCTGGAAACTGGGCTTATTTTCCGCTACTGCAGTACACGCTACCCACATATAAGCTGGGGGCCAAGGAGTTAGGAACAATAACAGGCGGGCAACCTTCAGAAATTCCACTGAAAGAAGAGGTGCTGAGGTAAGAACCACACACAAGCAACCTACGTCAAAAACAATACATAAAAGGTTGGGTGTGTTTTGTTTGCGTTTCGGGTATTCTTAATGTCAGTTTTGGGGACGCAATATACCGCTGTTGGGATGCACACCCCAGCAGAGAAACAAAAGAGACACGCCTCGCGATAAACAAGAGGTTCTTCCTATGTATGAATGCATACCGCCAGAAACAAGGACACGTTATCCCGCCACTCCTCACCCAGCAACAGGTTCTGAAGCTTCCGGTAGGCCTCCTCCCTTCCCCACTTCTCCCCCGAAAAGACGAAGGCCGGCTTGGAGCCAACCCGTTTCGCTAGCCCGGCCAGTTCCCCAAGCCCTCGGTATTGGACGAGGCCTAGCTCGATCATGTCTAACATGTGCCCGTCGAATGTTCGGCCCTACTCCAGGCCGTGCAGTAGAGAGCACGTAACGTTGCACACGTATTATCTGGTATGGCGTATACAGGGACTGATCTAATACATTACCGTTCGAGGTGACACGACGTAACATATCACACTCCCTCGGAGTGATTTCCATTGCTCCATTTCTCCACAGCAGAAATAGTGCCCGCGCCGCAAACGGCGGCGTTGAACCCATCTATCTCGTTGAGAGCTTTCCGAAACCGTATCGTTTCATTGATGCATCCTCTGCTTCGTGGAGTGTGATCGAGCTAATAAACTTGGTCCAGGGGGTACGGTATCTTACGTTTCGCACGCACGGAGCACAATTTAGCAACAGGGGCAGGCATCTCCGCACCACGGACGAGCATCGAGCCAACAAACATATGCAAACATGAATAGTAACAGATGAAAGCAGCAGGCAATGTACTGTGTGCAATTGAAGCCGGCAACACTCAGGTGACACAACGTCAAGGCTTCCCACTTTTCACAACACTGCTAATGACCGGGTGTGTCATATTGCGTGGGCGTGTGTTATCCTAAAACATGTCGCCCTATTGGTCGGTCCGAGGTTAATACTTTGGGCTCGTGTTGACCCGAAACATGTTGCCGTTCGACTGTGGGAATATCTCGAACGTAGTCTTCCTGTGTGTGCATTTGTTTTTCCTAGTATTGCCGCCGGGTGTGGTGTTACGTGTGTGGGTAAATCTTGTGTATTGCCGGATTACGCCGCATGCGCCACCAAAGGAAGGGTGGTCCCATCCAGAACGCCTCGATCAACATTCATGTCCCATCGCCTTACCAGTACAAGGTTGTTGGGACGCTTCTTGTTGTGGCTGCCGAAGCAGAAGAGCGAGCAGTCGTTCTTGGACATGAGGAACTCGGCAGAGGTCTCGTCCTCCATGGGGTTGGTGTCGTTCTTCTTGGAGAACATGACGGCATCCGGAGACTTGAGGCGGTACTGGTTTTCCGGAGAATGTCAGCGCCGACAAAAAAGGGTGAACATGAGGCACACGAGGTGGAAGATAGACATCCATAGCAACGGGGTACAGCTGTCCTTCGGAGACAGCATGACTGCACTGCCGGGAGACCTTGGCTCTTGAGTCGTAAACGGTATGCTGCCTACATGCACAAATGTAGCTCGCACATTCGGGACACTTGAAATCCGTTGAGGCACGGCACCGATCGACGAAGTGAAGCCATGTTATTTTTTGTACTTTGCTGGTGCTGTAGCCAATCCTTCGAAAACAACATCCCGGCCTCCGCAGCACTGCTGTAGCAGTAGCAACAACGGTGATTGTACTGCTGCTGTAGTCGGCCCACAACGATGCGTACCTTTGGTAAAATCAAGGGTGTGTTTGGTACGGTACCGGTATTTTCGGTAAGGTATTGAAGTCCGTACCGAACGTACCGAACACTTTCGTGAGGTATTCAAGTCCATACCGAACGTACCGAACATCCCGGTATGGTATGGCAGTCCAAACCAGTACCATACCGGCGATACCGGTATTTGTCCGGTATTTCTACCGATCGTCGCCCCAATATCTCAATCGGTACAGCGTACAGTTGGTGGTGCGCACCAGCACCAGCCGCCCTCATGAGCAACACACCACCCCCCCCCAGCAACAACAACGATGACCCCGCAGCTGGCGACCAAAGCTCATCATCGTCAGCGCCGGCGCCAGCACCTGCTGAGGCAGAGGTTGCTGTGGATGGTGGAGGAGGCAGCAGTGTGCCAGTGATACGGCCTGCTCCAGCCTACAACACGACGGACGACACAGAGTACGTAGTGCCGGCGGAGACATTGCAAGCTGTCGACGAGTTTGTGGTGCCGCAGGGGTATCGGAGAGAAGGGGCGCGTGAGTCCTCTTTCATGTACTTGCTCGGTGTGTACGTTGAGCCGACAGATTCGAACAATAACGCCTGCAAGTTCTTCTGCTTGGCGAGCCCGCGCCCCTTCTTTCCGATACCCCTGCGGCACCACAAACTCGTCGACAGCTTGCAATGTCTCTATATTACATGCGGGCTCGCCAAGCAGAAGAACTTGCAGACGTATTGTTCGAATCTGTCGGCTAAACGTACACACCGAGCGAGTACACGAAAGAGGACTCACGCGCCCCTTCTCTCCGATACCCCTACGGCACCACAAACTCGTCGACAGCTTGCAATGTCTCCGCCGGCACTACGTACTCTGTGTAGTCCGTCGTGTTGTAGGCAGGAGCAGGCCGTATCACTGGCACACTGCTGCCTCCTCCACCATCCACAGCAACCTCTGCCTCAGCAGGTGCTGGCGCCGGCGCTGACGATGATGGGCTTTGGTCGCCAGCTGCGGGGTCATCGTTGTTGTTGCTGGGGGGGGGTGGTGTGTTGCTCATGAGGGCGGCTGGTGCTGGTGCGCACCACCAGCTGTACGCTGTACCGATTGAGTAGGGTACGCCGGTACACTGCTGTGCTGCTGGTCTGCTGGTGCTGTGCGTGTGTGTGGCGGTATCGGGTGAATGTCATGCCTAACTTCCCGATCAGCCCGATACCGGTACCTCCAGTATTTACATCGTACCGAACGTACCGAAAACTTCCGTAAGGTATTGAAGTCCATACCGAACGTACCGGTATTTTCGGTAAGGTATCGAAGTCCGCACCGAACGTACCGAACACTTCGGTAAGGTACTCAAGTCCATACCGAGCGTACCGAACATCTCGGTACCGGTATACCGGAGGTATAATACCGCTGGCACGCCTCGGTATGTACCTTACCAAACACACCCTTGGATAAATAGCGTAGTGGCGGAAAGAAATAATCGAACCACACCTCTTCCAGGGCACACGCCAACTACGACTGATACGGAGGCTTGCATAACATAGGTCTTCTGTTGCCTGTTGCTGCTGCTATGGTGTAGATCAGCTGGTGCAGATATATCGTATACTACAAGCAGTAGTTGGTCTGGGGCTGTGGGCCACCCACGAGGTTGCCTGCTGTGCTAAGGAATTTCGTTGAACCTTCGACCAGACCCGGTTGGTTGCTGCAGGCTCCTACTTGCCCAGGGCGTTCGAACCACACGGTGGAAACAAGGCTCCATTCATGGGAACTTGTGTCATCAAAGGCCACTGCATGTCCGTCTTAGAGGCGCCCTTGGCGAAACAACAACCAACAACTCACAATGTCTTTGAGAGCGTCGGTCACATCCTGGCTGGTTTTGCGGCCCTTGATGATGATGGCTGTTTTCGCATTCTCATGGACCTGTGGCTCACGCTTGCGCTTCGCGCGTAGTGCCTTGGCGTTACCCTGCTTTGGGATGATATTCCTGGACGGCATGGTAGCGGTGCTGCGAGAGGCTACAGGAGATAGCAGCTGCACCGGGACGGAGGCTGCCATGAAGCACTGCAGCGATGCGGCGCAACCACGAAAACGGTGTTCCAGAAAAAGGCGTTTTTTGTACTGGGTTAGATTCATGTTTTGCTGGCCTTCTCGGGCCGCGCAACCGGCGCACCGGCGCTAATCCCGGCCGGGAAAGACACGCGACGCACAAAGGGCAACCAGGTTCGTTTGCTGTCATTCATTGTTCTCTGACGGACCTGCACCTCCGTCGGCCTCTCCTTCCGTGGCCTCCTTTTGCACGGAAGATGCTGCAAGAACCGTTGTTACCGTCGTCCCTGTTCTCCGTACAACGCAATTCCACTCAACTCAACGTGGTCCGTAGTATGCATACATCTACACACCGGTCGCCCCGGTGGTCTAGTGGGTAACCTCGCAGCCTGCTAAGGGCCAGGTCATGTGCTCGAGTCCCGGCAGAGTGATTTTTTTTGTCACTAAATAAATCCTGGTCTAGGATGAAAGCGACGCGGTGCATAGCTCGTTGTTCGTAAACCATAATCGACTTCGTAAGTCGCGAGGGAAGGGATTGCTGTACCCTTCTCGCGATAAAAATCCTCAGGCAGGAGCCGCAGGAGGGGGTCCAGCCCCCCCCTCCTATGTGACCCCGGTTGGGTCGTCTAGCTAGTAGAAGTGGAGGATAGGGGCCAGAGGGGCAGACGACAGAGTCCAATAGTCTAGTCTTATGGAAAAAAAAAGAAACTACAGTTTTGTTTGTTTGAAGTTCAACTTCCCCTTGATCGGAACAAATGGGTTCCCCTCATTCTACAGTATATCAGTACATGTGGTGGGAACAACCAAAGACATGTGTAACACGGCGAAACCAGTATTGTTACAAGTTCCAACCGCGGCGATTCCATGTGGAGCAAAGGGCCGTCCATGTGGAAACTGTGCCCCCCCCCCCCCCCCGNGGTCCGGTGAGAACCCAGCGTGCTCCGTCCCGGCTTTGTAGGGATGCGAGGTCAATGGTCGAACGACTACGGCATGCACGACTATGAGTACACCCCCCCGGGCCAAGATTGACACGCAGTTTTCATTGTACAGATTTTCGTGCCGCATTCTAAAAGCCACATACGGAGTACGATACTACGAAGTACAGGCTTTAGCATCGTCAATATTTCCTATACCATACAATAGACCCCCACCGTCCTCGCGACCAAGAGTGACGCGCAGCTTGGGCTGTTTCATGATTCGCACTTGCTCTGTGTGGGATCACGCGTGCGCGCCCTAATAATGTCGAGACCCCGTGGATTTGGTCAAAATGTCCCCCCACGGGACATACGTAAGGACTTGCCCCGCTGCCCCCCCCCGCGAAGATCGACATGTAGCTCAAGTGCTCCAAGCTTTCTACATGGAGGGCCCCTTGTGCGCAGGGTAATATGCATACATATACCCAAAGGTGCACCGGTGCCCAAAGTAAATGAGACGAAAAACAATTTCACCTCGATGGCACTTCCCTTCCTACATTACCAATGTGTAGTCCAAATCTGGGCAGCCCGAGGGCATACTGTGATACGGCCATCCGAACAACCTATATCGACGTCAGCGTCATTTACGTTTGCTTACAATTTTCTCAAGCAATACCAATACATGTACCAAACGCGCCCACCTTATTACTTACTTTTTGCTCGTCGCCTCGGGGTGGTGAATCTGACAAACCTATAACAGCACTTCGACCACGACGACCCCCACATCCGTATCGATCTCCCTCATCTTCTCCTCACTTGCACATGCTCCCGGCATCGCACCTAGTTTTGTTTTGCTCCCCACGCTCGTGACGACTGCTTCGTTTCGAAACGCTCCCGACTTTTCAATCATGCTCCCATTGTACGAGACACGCTCCAGATGGGTAGTCATGCTACACGTTGTTTCACAGCGACGAGAGAGCTCTTCACGTATCCTATGCAAAGCGAAGACCCGGTAGCCCTCTGCCAGCAGCTCACTATTCGGACACGCAGGGGGTCTATACACGGGTCTCACCCCGCCCTTCATTTCCAGCGCTCGCCGCCTCGGCCCTTGGTGTGAAGCACAAAAGCTTGTACTCTCTGGCAATTAAACCAAACTCTACTCCAGCTAGCAACATGCCAAGGCCCAGAAACACCCCCCATAGAAGAGGGTCGTCATCTTCCTCGTCATGGAACACCCCAAAGACAGTGAGGCATGCCACACTGGCGGCGCCTACGAACGTCTTCACGTCCTGATACCATGGCGTTCGCGAACCCTGTACATCGAAAGTAGCGTGATGACAGAAGTTTGTGATTGCTCGGTGATGTAAGGATACACATAACGGACTTCGACTGTCGCCACTAATCGTGTTGTGTTCGACACGAGAGTCAGGTGACACGAGGTACGGGAGAATATCACAAAAGTCGGGTAGAGCAGCCCGAGAGGCAACATGTCATGCACTCGATATTCAACGAGGTACTTGCGCGCGACGCGGATGACATAACGTAACCGTGGACGACAGCAGTAAATAAGGCAGCTTGGATGTAGTGATTGAACTTCACGAAATTTCGGCCATCCTGTGCAACTCTGTGCCACCGAACGCAACTGAACACTGCTTGCACCCTCGTTTTTTGACAACGTTGTACATGCCTGGCTGCTTGAACTGGTCTCTGCAGGTGCTTGGCTGCTCGAACTAGTCTGTGCGGGTGCTCGGCCGCTCGGACTGATGTGGACAGGGGCCGGACCAGAAACCTGTACAATCAACAGTTCGGATGTGAGATTAGCACAAAATGATTCGCGGAGGCAAGCGCAGTCCGACATTTGCAACACATGTATGGCGTCGCGCTACATCACGGTCTGGGCGGAGGCCTTTGTACAAGGGAAAATAACACCACATAGTGTAATTGACCATCGCTTGAACATGGTACCAACTCAATGTGGCAAAGGCGCCCCCACCTCGGAGATGCTTCCAAGCCATGACGCACAACCCCGAAGAGCCATTTTCTCGGCGAACTGCTCACGGAGACTTTCATCGAAAAACTCCTCGTCTGAGAATTCCACAACCTGGAGAGCAACGGCCAGAAGGTCTATGCCAGCCGCACGGTCCTGGCAAATTTTTCAAAAGTCTCTCTCCCCGACCAGGCAGGATCCAGGCCGTGCCTGCCAAAAGAGAGAGCGGACGGGCGCCTAAATGATTGAGTGCGCGGATTGCAAGTGTGTTGATATTCTCGTGCCTGTGATGCCCAAAAACACGCGCCTACAATCTGAATGACCCATAGGCGAGAAGGCATCATTGTTGGTAAGACCTGGAGGCAGCTAGTGTGCTGATTGGCCAACACAACCGTCAACTGGATGTTGTGACGCTAGCTTCGAACGTCACTTTGTTGAGGTAGAACTTCTGGGACCGCAGAACGAAAAAAACATATTTTGAGCGACAAGCTCGGGCGCTCACATCTTTTGTTCTAATCTTCATGCGCTTGGTCTTGTGGAGTGGGCAGAAAAACGTTGTCCCGCAAGGTAAACCAGGGAACTCCGAGAGCATCTTGATCGTGACGGAGAGGACTTTTGACAGAGCCGCCCACGCGAAGACCTCCGTACGCCCCCCGGACACCTCGACCGTCAGGATCTTACGCTCCTCAGAGTACTCTAAACTCAGTGAAAACATCCTTACTTCCGCGCCTTTCCCCACTATTAGAGCTCCATATCTCCAGAACGGGTATGGGAGGCCCAAGTGGCAGCACCGCGCCAGGAGACGCTCGACAAAGCCGGGAGGCAACCCTAGACTGAAAGAGCACTCAACAACAAGCCTCAGGTCGAACTTGTTAGCTTGGTCTGCTTCCTTGAGCTTGATGCCGTAATCAGGTGAGGGCTTCGTGTCCATGCGCAAAAGAATCACCAAGCCCCCATTGGAGTCGTTCGGCAGGGAGGGGAAACGCCAGTCCTGCACCCTTCAAAGCCAGGAGAAGATGCGGTGCAAGCTCTGGGCCCCACACCTCTTCAGCGAGTTGCGGCTCTAAAACATGGTCTTCGTCCAGCCGGTCCAAGCCGTCAACGTCCGTCACCCTCATGCCACCAAGGTAGATTTTCCCGTATGAATCTCGCTTGTGACAAAACAAAGGATCCAGAACTGTGGCGAACCATTCGACGTCGAGGAAGACGTAGCTGCTGTATTCCACCAGTCCCCCTTCCCACTTCCTGCACACAGTAGTGTAGTTGTACGACACGACGCCGGGCCCAACACCAGATTGGAAGCAGACTTGAGGTGAAGCCTACACTAACTCTCCTGTCCGACATGACAGTCCTAACCTATACTACAGCGTAAACATGTAAATCTTCCGTGACTTTCTGCACCCGTATTTCAAAGATACCTAAACCTAATTTCTGTTATGATCCACAACGCCCACGAATTTGGACGAGTGGCGTTCCAAAGGGAAAAATTCCAAACAGACAACCCAAGATCAGTGAAGCCGACATCGAACTCACCTGATCAAGATTGCACCAGCCATGGCCGCGTCCGGGGCCGATACCGACGTTCCGACTCTGTTCATCTCAGCCACCTTGGTTTGCCACTTGTCCTCCAAAATCGCTCTTGTGACGCCGCGGATGTGTTGCTCAGTCTTGCTCCTGGAACAACACCGGTGCAATGACGAGGAGGTGCAAATTCTATCAAACCATTCGCGACGAACCATGGAAACAGAACGCGCACACAATCGTGGCGCATTGTTTTTTCATAAGTCGAGCCAAGGTGTGCATGAACATGAGCGGACACAGCACCGCTATCGCTCGATGTGGGAAACACACTCTACATTGATTTACGTCGGTGACGTGTGTATTGACATGTTGGACTGCATGGGACAAATATGTAACAACAACAAGTGGCGACGTAGACATCGATATCCTCACCTACTGCATGACGCCAGCTCCTCAAGCATCTTAAGGGCGAGTCGATAGCTCTCGGGAAGATGCATGGTAACAGCCCTCGTCCTACTGGCAGAGTTGTATGCGATGCGACGGTAAAGCCCCGGCGTATTCTTGTCGAAGGGCCAGCCTGAACCCGCACCGAATGATGGTGCCACGACGCCTACGCCAGATGCTGCACAGCTCACAAGACTGACGCCGTCTTCCAACGAAATTCCGCGGGGTTGATGTCCGCGCGCAATCTCTATCAAGGACTCCAGCCATTGGCGGCTCTCATGTTCCACGTCAGCCGCCACTACGGTACGCCTGGTTCTTACCACGTGGTCGCACTTGTTTCCCACAAGTATCACACTTGCGTCCGGCACGCGGAACGTCAAGTATCGTAGCCATGGAGCAATCCCAAGGTCTTCAAGATTCAAGCCTTCCATCTCGCTGGCTTTCGCCGCATCCCATACCAACATGTACACAGCACGAGGGGTGAGAAACAGCTGGAGCAGTCCGTAGTAGACAACCTGTCCAGTGGTCCAAGTGGGGTATCACAGACACGAGGAGAGGTGAAATGGATGGGAATGTGATGTCGAACCAAGTGAACTGGGCCACGGGGTGCAAAACCATAGGATACTCAACTAGGTAGAACACAGCCAGGGTCAAACACCGACGTCGTAATCATCGTCGCGATGATTTTGCACAGGTGTGATCCAACGTAGGAATGGACGGTATCACCCGTCGGCTGCATGTTTCTGACCAACAACAAGGAAAACAAAATGAAGTCCACTGACAATATAAAGTTAAAAGGGCATTAGGTGTCATGTAAGCTGACGAGGACGACACAAAAAACAAGAAAGTTATAATCCATGCTGTAATCGTAGGAGAGTTTCATGCGAAAAGCTGGATACAATGGTCGGATCTACTGACGACAACATGAAATTATCTCGACCTCCAGCTTAGGGTGACTGCCACAACAGAATCTAACGAAAAATATGCTGACCCACGACGGAAGTGTACTGACTGGGTCAACTCACGTGTGCGACAGAACAAACAACACGTACAAGGAACATCATCCATCTCACCTGACCGGCACAATCAAACACTCGAATCGGGTGACCATCGACCTCGTGGTCTTCGACATCCACGTGGACAGTGCTCTCCACACCACACCCTCTTGTCATGCACGGCCTCCCGGTCTTGATACTGCGCCGCAAACTACGGTAATGCACATGAGCGTAAATACATGTCAATTTGCCACCAAAACGTTTATGTGAGCATGACCCTCCGCACAGCATCTCATGACGCCCAAGTTTTCTCCTCAGCATCGAAAAAGCCCCTAGAATTCACTACATTTTGTGAGAATTTCACGCAAGGTCGCAGAGCAGCGCACAATGTTGACTCAATTCGAGGACGCGTCGACTCGATCTTTCAGATGTAGATCTTGAACCATATGGCGTCCGGTGCTAATCACACCTCTACCTGTGATTAGCCTCGCAAGCGTTTTTTTTCCAACACCAACTACGTTGCCCAGAAGCACCGACGATAAAACGATCCGGCCATCCCGCGGAGTGGGCAGGGTGTATTGGTTGGAGGACATCGTCCTCAAGGATATGGTTTTATCTGAGCATACATACACGCAACATTGCCAAAACCTGAATTTTCTTAGTTTCCAACACGAAACAAGAAAAAGACTGTACGCGGGCTGAAAGTTATGTCCGCGTACCTGGTCTTTCCAACAGTCTCCTCCCCAACGATGACGACCTTGATAGGTCGGGTCACAGCGGTAGTGCCGCCCATGTAGATGGCTTCGAAGTACCTTCTCACCGCCGGAATACCACCCGCCGCGATTGCCTCGGGAGGGTACTCCCACGGGTTATGGGCAAGGCCCAAATCTCTAACCCGTGCAAGGGTGTCCAGAAGACAGACTAATGGCACCGGAAGGGTACCTAGCAAAACGTCAACGGACGGCACAACGTATGGTCGGGCAGAGACATGCAACCTCATGCTGTCAACGACCAACATTGTGCATGCGTGCATCCCGCGAGACTCGCCGCCCTGATGTCCACCAGGTCACCTACCCTCCTTGTCCACAACTACTGTACTGCAAGTTTCCAGTTGTACAGATGTAACGCCTCGCCGAAAAACAAAGTCCGGACTTGCTTGGTGCCGACTGATAACTCCAACATGTTTCCAAATAGACTGGAAGGGGTACTTGGTTCGGTCTCTTGAACTCGGGGGACGCGATTGTATCAAACCACGTGGACAAATACGCGCCAGAAAACACGGCGAGCTTTTGGGCTAAACAGATCAACGACAAATCGGGCCAGGCCATCTGTATGCAACATGTCAAGTGGAATCCAAAAATTCGTCCTATATCTGGATGTTTGCCGCACTCGTTGAGCAGAAATGCACCAATGGTCTTGTCAACAGAGCATTCCCTGCGCAACAATTCAACGGGGTTCTGGTGCAGTCCTTTTTTTCAACCTACGCTCCGTAATTCCCAACTATGTGTGAGATTGCCATACAAATCACACGATAGCGGGGGTGCGCACCATCGCCTAATGGTCACATCCGTTCCCACGACAGTCTGCGTATTCCGACACAGATCAAGGGGTTTATTCTCGGGAACGGTTTTTAAGGCGAACACATTTTCGGCGGTAATGGCGTAGGGCGGTAATCGTTTCGGTGCGAGGCGGTATTGAGTTTTTCGGCGGTAATGACTTTGGCGGAGGCAGGAAAGCCCAAATACGGCGGCAACTTCTTGGCTGCGGGCGGACGTTACTTGTATCGACGGTAACGTCGTTGGTGGAGGCGGTACAACCAAAAAGAGGCGGAAAATCGGCGGTATGCCGGTGCCGCCTACCGGAGCGGTATGCTACAGCGGCAATGAACGCCATATGGCCGTAACTTCGAGCGGTACTAAAAACGGCGGCAAGTAAGGTGCCATTTACGGCGCCTAAACTACCGGCAAACTTCGCCACCTGCACACGTAATTTGGACGTTTGTTTGGCGTGTTCACTAGCGATTTTCACGTTTTTATGTTCAAATCTTCAAGGCAAAAACGTAAAAACACAAAAAACGAACAAAAATTCACGGACTCGGAACCCCTGATTCACACTTTGCCAGTGCAGTCGACGAGACGAGGTTTCTGCCCACTCAGCCCATCGGTCACTCTTCTGTCCGCGGTAACGTACTTGCGTGGTCTTAATGTACAGCCGGTATTGCAATATGGCGGTAAACATCAGGCCGTATTGTCTTAAGGCGTTGTTGTGATGGTGGGCGGTATTCCGTTTTTCGGCGAAATCGACTTTGGCGGAGGCTGTCAAAAACCAAACTCTGCCGGTAACTGTCGGCGGTAACGCATACGGCGGTAATTGTTTGGCGGTAGGTGGCATTTGTGTTTTTCCGGAAACGATCTTAGCGCAGGCTGTAAAACCAAAACACGACGGCAAACCGGCAGTACACCGGTACCGCTCACCGGGGTGGTATGTCCACGGTGGTAAAAAATACCGAGGAAACCCTTATATATGTACTCCCCAAACCTGAAAACCTGAAAACCAGTACAAAAATTAATTATAAAAAACACCCCCATATAGACTTGTCTCCGCTCCCGGTGCTTGCCATCGGGGTTGGGTTTTCGTCGCTTGGCAATGACGTTGTAAAACAAGCCCCCCCAGGCAGTCCGGAAGGGAGTAAAAGTAGGGGACACGGAAACGTCGGTTTCAGGAATGCTGTTTGCGGATGATTTTGTCGGTATGTCGGACACCCCTGAGGGACTGCAACTGCAAATTGACGCGGCGAAGAAGTTTACTGATAAGTGGAGATTGTCTGCCAACGTT